GAAAGGAAAGTACAGACAACCCTTTAATTCCCAACATTTATTCCACTTAATTTTTTTTTTTGAGGTTGTTCTGCACTTAAAACAGGTGTATTAGCATAATCTCCAGAGAATATCTAATTCTCTCAGAAAGGAAAAATCACTACTAACTCAACACAAATCAAGCTGAAAGGTCTGTACAATGAGTAAAGCAAGGATATTCTAGGTTCCTGGTTTTTTAAACTTATATACGGCCTTTGGAAAGAGGTACACAAGTAGGCTTCCTGGAACCTAAATCCAGGAACCTAATTAGCACTTTCACTTGGTGGGGTGGGGGGGGGAGATGAGTTCTCTCTTTATCCTTTTCTATAGCCAAACTTTAATGTGGTCCAATTAAGACAAGAAGTTACAAAAGTCTAGAAAAATACCCACTTACAGCACATACACCAGATTCAATGTTTTTTTTAATCCAACAGTTTATAATGATATTTTTTTTTCCTTTCTAAAAGAATATTCTCTCACTGGAAGATTTCTATCTGCATATTAAAGTCTCCTAAACATCCTGAACTTTGTTGTTGTCCCCCAAATTAAGCAAATAAGTTCTGCTGATCTATCAAACATAAATACTCTTAAATTTAGGCCAACACATTATAAAGAAAATTAAGTACCTTAAAGACAAAGATTGAAACTGAGGACTAATAAATTTTCCCTAATTTTTTCTTATCAGTATATCTCAATAATGAAAGAATTCAAATCCCAGCTTTAACACAACATTAACACTTTTCAAAGGCAATTCTCAATTCATTTTACTCTTTATAAAGAGGTTTAGGTTGCATGTTTAAAAACAAATCCTATAATCACTGGTAGGGAAATTTTTCCAGTGGGGGTATGAATCTTAAGCTGAGCTGCCTCATGTATTTATAGTATCACTCACATTCTATTCTAAAAGCCTATTAATTTTGTTGATTAGTTCACTAGAAGTTACAACTAGGTGGATAGGTTCGGCTCCCCATGTGACCAATTTATAATTTACCACTGGCAAAGTCAAATTCAGCTAAACACCCATTCAAGAACTAGTAACAAATGAAGTTTGTTTTTATGTTGTTTAAGGCAGACACTTTCAAACTGTAACTGTAGGACTTAATCCAGGCTCCTACTAGGTGAGGAAAAAAAAGTTTTTCTTCCGACCAGTATAGTCCTAAATGTCTTAAAAGTGGGTACAGGGTTTCTTTTGGGAGTGATGAAAATGTTCTAACATTGATTGTGGTGATGGTTTTACAGCTCTGAAACTACTTAAAACTACTATGCATAACATTTTAAATTGATGAATTATATGGTATATGAATTATATCTCAATAAAGCTGTTATTTTTTTTAAAGTAATTATAAGTTCTTCTTTCACTCAAGGACGTTTCTATTAATAAGCCTTTTCTCCAAATGGTAAGGGGTCTAAGGTGGCTAAAGAATCACAACCAGAGAAAAATTACGAGACACCAAAGGAACTGCGAAAACAACAGAGAGGGTTAGGCCAAAGTCAATCAAACCTAAAATTAGGGAGATTGATAGGCTGGAATGAGAGTAAATGAGCTCCATTATCATTAACACCTCTAACCATACAAAGAAATGTGTATTTAAGTTCCTCCCTGTTCCTAATGGTAGAACCAGCAGGCTCACTCAAAGATGCTGACTGTATTAAAACACTTGGAAGTTTTACACTTTGCCTATAAAGATGAAGGAATCAAACTAATGACCCACAGGAAGTTAAAGTTGAAAAAATGTGTCTATTGTGCCATCTGGGGTTTGATTTAAATCCCTGATTTTTGGACACTGCCAAAGAAATATGTGGAATCTGCCTATCTATGGCCAAATGTTAGACATCTGAGGGCAACAAAAAAAGTTATAAAAGCCGTCAAATATATTCCAATCAAACTTGGGAGACTCAAAAAAGTATTCACTGAGCAGCCAACTATTTTTTGCCTAATAATTACACTCCTAAAATTAACCACTTCCAAATACCACAAAGCAACATGGAAAATGTGTCCTTACAAAGACATCTAAGTACATCAAGAAGGAAATGAAAATATGCATTTTAAACGTAGCAAAACCAGAAGTCAGATTAATTGTAAATTTAAAAAAATTTAAATCCCAGGAAATAAGCCTGGTTATCCCACATACTTGATATAATTTGAAAAAGATTTATTTCCCTCTTTAAAACTCAGGATTTAACAGTTTTCTTAATTTATTACCTTTTATCACATTCACCTTACTATAATTTCACAAATTTCTGTGAACCCCAAGTTTTCAGAAGCAAAACAGTTTAGGACCCTCACAGAAAGCAGCTATAAACTGAAACTATGTAAGTAACATTAATTAAAGATACAAAAGGAAATAGAAATGCTTTATAATTCTTCCCCTAATCTCCCAACAACAAATACCAACAGACCCAATCTCTATTTTAACACAGCCACTTGTATTCCAAAAAATTAGAGAACAAAAATCATCTAGAAACACAGGCATTATATAGCTATACTCTGGACAATATTTCATACCTCTTGGGTTTTTTGTTGCTTTATTTCAACTATATGAAACCACTTGTTCACAGCTTCTAAAACAGAACAGTTTCTAAAACAAAGACTGTTTACATCCCTTAAGATACCTTTGTTCCAACAAGACCCTTCTTCAAGAGCTACAACTTCTGGAAAGATTTCCCTTTTTGTGGTTATATCAACAACAAACTCTTTCCATTTGGCACAGGAGTTTGTTAAACAAAGGCCGAAGAAAGCCCCCCTCACACAAAGAAGGTCTCCAAAACAGAGCATTGGTTATGTTTGTAGATTATCCTCTTTAACACCCTTTCTCAGGCTGTAGAATGTACTACTCTCTCAATACAAAATGGTGGCCATCATGTCTGTCTGGCATTCAGAATGGGAAAAGGCAATATTATCACACATTTTGCAACACTTACCATTAATATCCTAGCCAAGATGAAGAAATGGGTAGCCAAACCTAACCAGAGCCAACACTATCTTTTTGGGAAAGGGCCCTATAAAAGGCACAGAATAATAAAGGGTTTACCCCAGCCCTAGTATATACCACAATACCAACATGGAGGACAACTCTCACTCCCAGGAACCCGACTCCACACATTTTGATTACCAAGAACTTAATCAAGTTGCCTCATTTCTGAATAAAATCTCATTTATGCAAATGAACAATACTCACATTCACCCTTCCTAGCATTTGACATAAAACTAAACTGCTAAATGTTTGAAACATGATCTATTCTTCCAAGAATTAAAACCTTAGCTCTAATAAGCTCCGGCTACAACTTCTGCAGGCCTCTTTGCACTCTAGAAGAAATGTACTTCCCTTAAGCAACAAGAATCAACCTTATCCACTTTTTGAAAGAAATGATTCTATTTTCAAACATTTCCCCCATACTAGCTGACCAGTTATTTTCTGAAGCATAGGTTTCATCTCCATCTTCAAACTTGTCCAAGAAAAACCAAAGTGTGGTGTCTGTGTTTTAATTTTGGGGGGAAGGAGATGGGAGACCGGAGAAAGAAGACATACAGAGAGATCTCCCTCAAAACTCTTTTCCAAACCAGAATGATTACACACAGAACCCCTGCAACTCCAAATGTCATTACAAAGAGCAAGCTTAAGAAAGAAAGGGATTGGGGGGGGGGGGAATCTTCCTCCAACGGGAGTGGGAGTGGGGGTGGGGTGGGGGGCGAGGAGGACAGTGGGGAGAAGATTCTTAAACTGTAGGAAAAGCAGTTAAACGTCCTTCCCAACGGTCCCAGCCCGTCCAACCGTCCTTTAGGCCAACTCGGACTCGGACCATCCACAAGGTGGGCAAAAAAACAGGGGTGTAGGCGCGCACCCAGTTCCGGGTGGGGGTGGGGGTGGGGGACAGGGAAGGGCTGGCCGGGCTCTGCTCAGCGAACGTTGGAGCCGTTAGGGATGACTTCAGCAACACCCCACCCCTCACACACACACACGCAGCCCCCAGGCCCGAGGCGCTTTTACACACGGCTCGGAGGGCTGAAGTGGGGCTGCATTTCAGCCTCCGCGGGGTGGGGGGCGCGGGAAGTGCGCGTGAAGCCTTCGGAGGTCTTCCAGTCTGACAAGTCCCCCTACTGCACGGCCTCGCCCCCACCCCACCAACACAGCCCAGACCTCCCCGGGGAGCCGAGCGGCCGGGCCCAAAGTCGGGTGTGCGCGCGGCGGGGCGCGCGGGCGGGCACCGGGCCCTCCACAGCCGGTCCTGACCCCCCACCGCCCCCAAGCGCCCCCCCACACACTTACGCCCCCCACAACACCACCTCGGCTCCCGGGCCGGCCCCGCGGCTCCTCCCCGCCCCCCGGCAGCGCTGGACGCCCCCTCCTCGAGCCCGGCCCGGGAGACAGCAGGAGGCCCGGGGCCCGGGGGGCAGGGGGGTGCCCCCGCCTGCAGGGTGGGGCGCCCAGGTGAGGGCCGCTCCGGGCCGACGCCGCCACCACACAAAGGACCAGGGGCTCCCGCCGCCATATTGAAAACTTTCCTCCGCGCACGACAACTCGCAAGTCCCCCACCCCCACCCAGCACACACCCCCGCACCCCGGGGGAGGAGGCGAGCCCCAGCCCGCGGAGCCGCGCCGAGCCCGGCGCCCGCCCTCCTCGCCCGCGACGCCGCCGGCCTCCGGCAGGAAGCACCCCCGCGCCCACCCCGGCCGCCACTCCATCTGGAACCGAACCCGAACCCCGGGCCGGGCCGCACACCGGTCCGCCCAGGCCGCGCGTCGCCCGGGCCCTCGGGGTGGCACCACCGAAGCGCCCGCTCTCCCACGCTCATCTCCCACCCTGGAGAAGCCCCGTCCTCCTCCCCCGGCCTCAACTCCGACCCTGGGGCAGCCCCAAACTTGACGCGGCCTCCGGGGCGACCCCGCTCCCCGCCCCCCGTGCTTCGGGCCTCCCCAACCCGCGAGTCCTCTCTCCCTCCCCCAGCCGCGAGCAGGATCCGGGGTGCCGGCGTGACTCACCGGCGGCGGCCGCACCTTACAGATCCCAGTCTGCTCGGCTATGGGCCGGATCTTGTGGATGAAAGCGAAGGGGTCCGCGAACTCTTCCCAGCTGGGCTCAAAGACCGGGCACTCGGGGGGAGGCAGGAACTCGCCCAGGGGGCCCGGGCCCCCGAGGGGCAGCGCCGGGCGCGGGCCCGGGGGCAGCGCGGTGGCCGGCTCCATCACCGCGGGTCGGGGACGGGCGAGGACGGGGTGGGCTCCGGGACCGCGGCGGCGGGCTGCGTTGGGTCCGAGACGTGTGCAGACGCGGCTCTGGCGACAGCAAGTCCGACTTGTACTAGCAACGGCAGCACCTTGGGCTTTTTCAGCCTTCCTCCGACGACGTCTTGCCGCTAACCCACGCCGTGCGCCTCCGCCGCCACGGCGAGGAAAAAGAGTCCCACCCCCACCCCCACTCACCCCCCGCGCCGAGCTCTCGGCCCCGCCCCCGAATCGGGCGGGGCCGGGGCCTTCAGCCTGAGGATGGAGTTGATCCTTACGGTCCAGTTGAGCCAATATTTATTGACCATTTACTACGTGCCAGAGTCCCTTCCCTCAAGAAGTTAATACTCTGGTGGAGAAGATCAGACACATGAATGGACTATTTCAATCATGTCAGTACACTGTGGTGGGTGCCATGATAGAAGTACATACACTTAGTAAAACCTGGGGAGGGGCAGAAGGTATTTGGCATAATGGAGAAGGATTTTCTAGGTAGGGGGAACGGTTTGAGAGTAAGAACAAAATGGAGGTGAGAAAACAATAGTTACAATGTTAATAATAAGCCAACACTTGAGGACTTGCATATCCTGGGCACTGTTCTAAGTGCTTTGCATGATTAATCATTTAATCTACACAACAACCCTCTGAGGCTGATACTCTTATTTCCATTTTACAAATGGAAAGTGAGGCACAGGTTAAAAGCAGTTTGCCCAAATTCATACAGCTAACAAGTGATAAGAGACTATCTTTTGGAAAGAGGGGTGTTGCAGGGAAAAGTGATCCTTGAGCAATATAAGAACGAGGTGGTTGTGAGTGAAGCAAAAGACTTTAAAAATAATCTAGATGAGAAACGATGGTGCCTAAATTAAGGCAGTGGTACTATTCATTAGGAAGAAGGGATGCAAATGTAGGAGATAAAATTAGGACTCAGTGATAAACTGGGGAGGAACAGTAAGGTATGGAGGATGATTCAGGCGTCTAAGGTACGTGCCTGAATGGTTGCTTGGCCCATTGGCATTGCTGCGAAATTCCCCTAGATTATATACATGAGAAATCAGTATGAGGAGGGAGATAATGTGTTCGCTTCTGGATACGTTCTGAATTATCTTGAGTTTGAGGTTTCTTTGGTACAGTTGGAAATATTTAACAGGCTGAATAGTATAAATCTGAAGAGGAGAGATCAAAAGTGGAGATGTAAATCTGGAGCTTTTGGCATATGAGTGATAGCCATTATTTATCTAATGCTTACTGTGTGTAAAGCACTGTTGTGCTCATTGAATCTACCATCCTGTTGGGTAGGTACTGCTATTATGTTCATTTTGCAGAGGAAGCAACGGAGGCACAGAGAGGTTAAGTAACTTTGAGAGATATGAACACTTTTGGGATGGGGGGGCAGGATGAGTGCCTAGTGTCCTGCCCAGAAAAGGGGAGAGAGGAAATTCAACAAGTAGGACCTCAACACCAAAAATATCTCTCTTACCCAAAAAGCAGCCAAACCCATGAAAGTACTGTTTGGGTCAACATTAGTCCTAGCTCTGCTTTCAGATTCACCTAGAGGAAAGAAGTCTCTCTTATCCTCAAGGAATCTTCAATTTAAAAAGAGGGGAGGGGAGAAGCTTCCTCTTCAATAAACTCTTCGCAGAGGTACTTGGCCCCAAAAGAGTTCAAAAAGTCCTTACAGAAGGTACTGCTTTTCTTAGCTCTCTAGGGTTTCGAACCTAGGTGAGCCTGTTTGTCTCCCCGTTGCAACAGAGACTTAAGCCAAGGGGCAGCCGGCATCCTACTGGAGAAAAAGTCATCACTGTAAGATAGATACGAGATATAGTAAGTTATAATAAAATGTTAATGGTAAACCTAAACGGTGGGTCTAGAGGAATTTGCTGCAGAATTCTTTTAACTTTGCTGAATATTTGAAAATTTTTCATAATAAAATGTTGGGGGAGAAAAATCATTGTTGCTCTTTGCCGTGGGTGTATATGCTTTTGAGGGTCTTGCTGCAGTTGATTTCCTGTCATGTGCTCTTTCCTGGGAGAGCGTTAAGACTATTTTCACGCTTAACACTGGCATTCTTCAACCCGGATAGGTGTAACTTTGGGAAAAATTCTAGACATATATCAGTAATGACTAATACTTAACTGAGGTGCATTGGAAGAACCAGCCTAGGAAAAGCTTTCCCAATCCTCGGCCGTGTACTAGGACTCCCTCACGCGCCCAACTCCCAAGCTCTCTCCATTTCCGGTAGTGACCCTAAGTGATGAGATTCTGTTGCTCCCAGATCTGGCAGCAGCTGTTTGGCTCCCCACGGACCCGATGTGACGTTGAGGGAGGGGGCGGTTGCCAGGGTAGTGAGGGGAACCTAGGGACCCAGAGGGCTCTCCGGGAAGGCGACAACTCCCCCCCGCCCCGCAGAAGACGCTTCCCTTGCCCTTTATGATGTGTGTTTACATGGGCGGAGGGATCCCTCCCCAGCTGACAGCCACACCGCGGCCGGCTCTTCTTTTTTTAAAGAGCCTAGCCACAGGCGGTGATTGGCCGCGGCCGGGGCCGCATCAGCCTCCGGGGGCGGGGCCCGGGCCGCATTGTCTCGTCTGGGGCTGGCCGGACGCCCCAGAGGCCGGACCTGGGCAACCCCGGCCCGAAGGTCCCTGGGCTGGAGCTCCCAGAGACCTGGGTACGAGGCCTGGGCGGGGTCCGGTGTGGCTTCCCGGGGGAGAGCGGGGTTGGAGCCCGGGCGGCCGAAGCGGAACCAAACCCCGCTCGGAGTGCCACGTCTCCAGGAACCCCCTCCTTACTCTTGGACAACACTCCGCCCCACCCGGGCCTCCGTCCCCCAAACCACCCCTATTCGTGCAGCCCCAGGTCCTTTGGACACATTCCTAAGGGTCTCCATCCTCAGCCGGCTCCCTCGGTCCCCAGGCCTCACTCCCCGAACCTGCGCGATCCTACCCCGCCCCCCGGCCTGCGCCCCAGATCTGCAGCCTTCGCCCCTAGATCCGCCCGCCTGGTGATGAGGCTCTCCCCGCGTTCCTTCCGGTCGTCTCTATGGGACGACCGCGCTCCAGGGTTGCAAACTGGGGGAGCGACTTTCTCCCTCCCCCAACCCCCCCCCCCCCGCCGCCAGTCCCCCGCGCATTGCCGGGGGACTGGGCTCCGGGATGAGGGGCAGGCCGGACTCCCCAGCAGCCAGGGAGGGGGCGGCGGCCCGCGCAGCACGTAGCGCACGTGTAGGGGCCGCTCTCCACCCCCTCCGCCGCCCGCCGCCTCCGACCACTTGCCAGGGCTCCCGGTGTCGGCGGTGCGCCCGCCTTCCGCCCCGACCTCCGGTGTCTGCGCCCTCCAAGTACTGCACCCCTTCGACCACCACCCTTCCCTTCCCAGCCGATCCTCTCCTCTTTCTCCTTTCCCCCGATTACCCCACTGCACGGGCCTTTCCTCTCAGCCTCTTCACAGTCCGTCTAAGCGCCTCCGCCAATTCAGTGCCATCCACCACCCCCCCTCCCACCACTTTGGGTGTCCTGGAATGTTTGGTGTCAGATGTCCCCTGTGGAAACCCACAAACCCTGAGATCTCGAGAGGAGCTGCAGCCTCTTTGGCCTGTTTTATTTATTTGGTGTGTACTCCCTGGGCGTCTCGTTACTACTCTCTCCTACTGCACTCCTAACTCGGTATTTGTCTTTAACACTGTCCTCTTCCCCTACACGTGGCTCTCCTCCAGACTGGAAGCCGCTGGAGGGAAGGAGTAATGGTCTCTAGCCCTGGCACCAGGCACGTGGTAGAAACTCCACAAGTATTTGTTGAAGGGGAAGGGAAAAGGCCTTGAGCGTCTGTGGCTCCGACTGGCTGAGGATGCAGCTTTGGACTGGAGAGGAGAAGAATCTGGCTGCCCAGGTGAAGCAGGAAAAGATCTCACAATAGCTCAGTATGTGCGGGATGGGGGCCCACATAGTGGGATAAATCCATCTTCCCCCATTCCCTGCCCTGTACATTTCCCTGGAACCAGCAACCCCTTCTCCTCTACTGGACTTGTCTCTCGTGTGGGGCTTCTTTGCTCTCTACTCTTCCCTGCCCCCAGCTATGGGGGCTGTCTCTTTGCATCAGCTCACCCCATGACAAGGGTCTCATCTCTGGGCTTCTTTCCCCCCCGGGGAAGCTGGGTCTGGATCCTGGGGAGACACCTGATAACTAAATACCTCTTCCCCCTCCCCACCCCCTTTTCCTCTCCAGTCCTGGGATCCCTTCTCTGCTGACTCAGCCCATGGGGAGCCAGGGTTCAGGGCTTTGGTTGACCCTCGTCGGGGTCCCCTCCCCAGGGAGGCTCCAACAGACACTGGCAAGTGGGGCAGTTCCCACGGTGTGGCCAGCCCTGCCTGTAGGGTTGGGGAGGGGCAGAGGTATCCGCACTACAGCTTCAGGGTGTTTCCTCCCTTTCTGGTTGGACCACTTCAGAGGCCCCGGACTCCTGTGGAACAACCTTGTGCTGAGGAGAGAAGCGGAGAGTCTGGCAGAGAGGGAGACTCATGTTTCCTGTTCATCCTGCAGCGCCACCTCCCCCAACTCAGGTCTCTGGACGGAGGCGTCCCCCTCAGCACACTGTATGGCCTTGGATAGTTGGAATGTTTGGAATTCTCTATATCCGGGATGAAAGTCTTCCAACAGGAAGAAAATGACTTCTACAAGAATGATGTCGGAACTTCAGGGAGCACCATCAAATCTACCATGCTCATCTGAAATGCACAGTGTTCCGCCAAATCCGGTTGAGTGACCAGCGCTGGGTCAGACACACACACTAAATGCTAAAGGCTAATTCCCTTTCTTCTCTCCCCTGGCAGGAAGTGGTGAAATGTGACCAACTAGAAATACTGTGCTAGCATGAATGAGACAGGGCCAGCGGCTGGGAGTAATTCACAATCTCTCACACATATCAACACGGTGAAGTAGGTGGCTATTAGCGGCTCTGCTTTTCGGGGGGTGAGTTGAGACCCAGAAAGGTTAATGAGCCAGTGTCACACAGATAATAACAGAGCCAGGACTGGAATGGTGATCCTAGAGCCTGTGATCTTCCCCAAACACCAAGCTGATTTCTCTAGAGCTGAGGAACGGGAACACA